TGATCATGAAATATCCTTTGTTAAAAAAACGTCCTTAGTGGCTGCCCTAGAGTTTGAAAAACACATGAATGATTAATCTAAGCCCACCATCGAATCATACTCTATCACATCTTTCGTGTCTGTCATTACTTTCATTCACTTATCCTCATGCTCCAACTGCCAATGTAGTGTAACTGTTGTCACTTTAAACAGGGTCATCTTTCAACTAAATAACCATAAGAAAAATAAGATTTTATTTCACCTTAATTTATTCCTTCTCTGATGCTCTTCCTTTCTTCATGCAGATCTAAGTTTTTTGGCCTAGTTTTTGGTATTTCTTTTAACATTTCTTGTGTCTCGAAGCAATGAATGACTTCAATTTTTGTGTGTCTTTATTTTTTTCACATTTGAAAGATGATTTTGCTGGGCACAGCACTCTAGGTTGGTGGCCTTTATCTTTCAACATGTTATTTTACTCGGCTCTCTCTTTGCATGGTTTCTGGGGGGAAATCTGTGCACTTCTTACCCTTGTTCCTCCCTAGGCGAGTATCATTCCCCTGCCCTGCCCCGGCTTCTTTAAAGATTCTCTCTTCTCTGCTTTTTGCATTGTTGTAGGTTTGGTGTTTGACTTGGAGTTTTCTGAGCTTCCTGGATCTTTCGTTAATTTTGGAAATTTCTTAGCCATTAATACTTAAAATATTTCTCCTACTGTGTTTTCTCTTTCTTCTCCTTCTGGCATTCCAGGTGTACGTGTCATGCCTTTTAACATTATTCCACAGTTCTTCCATGTTCTGGATTTTCCCTTCCATTTTTCTCCTTTGGGAAGTTTCTATCACACATCTTCAAGTTGACTGATTCTTTCCTCAATCAAGCCCTGATACAGATGAGCCCTAAAAGGCGTACCTCGTTTCTGTTAGTGTTTTTCATTTCCAACATTTCTTTTTGAGTCTTTCTTAGAATTTCCAACTCCTGCCCATCTGTTCTTGTATGTTATCTTCTTTTTCCATTAGAGCCTTAACATCTTATTAATTACAGCTGATTTTCCTGTCTGGAAATTCTAAAATTTGTGTCATATCTGAATCTGGTTCTCACACTTTTTGTGTGTTTTCTCTTGACATTTTTTTGATGAAAGTTGAACATGAATTATCAGGCAGTAGGAACTTCAGCAAAGAGGCCTTTAGAGTGAGTTCTGATGTTTGTTTAGGCAGGAATTGGGCTGTTTTTAATGTTTACTGCTGCTAGAGCTGCCAAAGGATTCAAATCTCTCCACTGTCCTTGCTTTTGTCCCCCTTATCATCATTGGGCTTCCCTACAACCTCCTCCTTAAATAGTCTCTGCCTTGAAGCTCCTTAAGCTGTAGCCCACTATTATACTGATTCCACGAGAACATAGCAGAGTTCATGAGTGGAAAACAAAAAACAAAAAAATGCCTTTCCCAGATAAGACTACAGCTTCTAGGAGTTTCTTCCCCTATTTTCAGCTTCCAGCAATTTTATCACAATTGTCCCCATCAGTTTACATGTCCAGCAGCTTCTGCTCTTGGTAAGCAGCCCTCACTGAGATTCTCTATATTTTCCTACCTCTCAAGATTTGAGGTACAGCCTGCCCTGCAACTCCACTTCCCTAGTAGATCCTAGAGAAGTCATGGGTATTCAGTTTGTTCAGCTTTTTTCTGTTGTACAGACAAGAAGGACAATCCTGACTCTTCACATTTGGAGCTCAAACTGGAGAAGCAGGACATTTTGACATTAATTATTTGATAGGGTCATTATTGAATCGAGAAATTTTAATATCACTGTATAAAAAATAAATAAAAGCAGTCCCATTATAAAATGTAATCTGCATCAAAACATCATCTGTTCTTGAAACACCTCAGTGCAGAAAGGCTTCAACTTAAAATTTTCAAATCAAATCCAGTACATTTTAAAAAATGGAAACATGAGTTTAAAGTACTGAATTCTTGTCATCTCCACTCTCATGCCAAATTTCTAGTTTCCTTATTCCTTCACCATTTCATCTCCTGAGCCCAGCTCCTTAGCACAGAATAAAACAATGTCACCTGAGCCTCATCCTGCAGCAAGTGTGTGTTGCCTTATCAATAAACATCAGATGTCTCTTGGTATAGGCTTCTTTTTCTTTCCAGTAATATAATCATAATAATTACTCAGACTTACTGAGCATTAACTATGGTCAGAAACTATGGTACTTGATTTATGTATGGCTTATCTTACTTATTCCTCACTGTCAATATTTGAAGTCAGAAAACTATGGAGCAGAAAAAAAATATGACTTGCTTAAAGTCATACGGTTTATGGTGAAGGCAGAATTCAGACTGAATCTGAGAGTCAAGTTCTGTACTTTCCCTTGACTGTTCCACTCACAAGCAGAACATAAGCACCTAACAAATACCATTGGACTTCTTACCCTCTACCTTGGGAATAGCTGTTTGCAAGTCCAAATTAGACAATTAACTTAGAGCAGTTAGCCTTGATACAGCCCTTAGATTCTCCCAATGATCGTAAATCCTAGAGGCAAGGACTACAATCCATTCATTAGTGAGTCTCCAACACAGTGGCCCTAGTAAAGCAAAAATGTTTGTGGAAATATGAATGAATGAGCAAGTGAAAAACTTTCCAAACCTATGGATGGATGGATGGATGAAGCAACTCTCAATATGATGACTAATGCAACAGAAAAGTTTCCAAACACCACAGAGTCCTCAGATCTTCACTGACATAAGTTGTGGTGGGGCAAGAACTATATTAGTTTTACCACTATTGTCAGCTAAATTAGCATATGCCTGCCACATAGTATATGTTTAATGAACTTGTGTGGTTTTTGATGAATTGACTTTTTGGAGGAAACCCTTCAAGAACAAGTAGCCCTGTGCTTTGGAGAATGACTGTTGGTGCCTCTCTTCCTCAACATATGGCCTTTTCTAGATAACTTCCATCTTATCCCTCCCTATTTTCTCTTCTCCAAATATATATAGTTATGATTACAAGGATCATTCCTTAACCCATATTCCCCACCTGATTCTTCCTGGCTTTGCTTAACAAAACAAGCCCAAGTTGCATACAAGTTAAGCCTAGAAATACTGGGTAGGGCCTATTTGAATGAGAATCCTGATCTGTTACTATCAGAAGGGATTTAGAGATCACATCCTTTGGGAGATAAGAATAAGAAAGCATAAATGAGTAATCCAGGATCACCTAATTGCTCACCACACAGACAGGCCCAAAGCCCCCTTCTGCCCGTCAGTCCAGTGCTCCAGGCAGCCCACGACACCGCCATTTCTATGCTTGCCTGTTCATGTGGGCCCCATCGGAGCAAAGATGGTAACTTTGGTAAATTAAATGCAGGAAGCTCCTTATTGTCACACCCATTTTGTTCTTTTTCATTAACAACACTTGTAGAAGAAAACATCCAAAACTGCAAGGAAAGGCTCACCATCACCACCTTCTGGCCCACCACTGGCAATGAACCCAAGCACACAGTTCACAGTGATCACAGGAATGGAAGCCAATGGGAGGGTGGCTTCAGGTTTTGTGTGTTGTCCCCTACTCTGAAACCTGGAAAGCCAAGTTATGGTGTAAAGTAAGATTATATTGAATCTGTAACCCTGTGTTTAAAAAAAGAAATCACAGAACTTGGACTTTAATCATAAAGATCATTTTACCAAAGCATATTTTTAAAAGGCTGTGAAATATTATGCAACGTTTGCATGGTTTAATTATGAGTTTAGAAAAGCCTAGCACAACTTTTTCACTACAGTAAAACATGACAGAGCATGAATCATGGCATAATGCTTTATGCTTAGTGTGGTTTTAGACATGGGTTTAGGGGTACTAGGCTGTCTACACAACAAGGCGTGAATTACGATACCACAATTCACACCCCAGAGGGCTTTATGACAATTATAAAACCTCTTTTGTTTGCTTTTTAAGTGATTAGAATATTTGAATACTATATATTCACTTAGTAAATGTGTGTATCTACAACATAATGCATCTTATAGAAAACATCTGAGTATGTGATTTTTTTCCCACTTGGAGCAAAATACATCAAGTAACATGAAAATACTGAATAGTCTACTATATCTGTTTGCCTTCAACTACAGAAACCACCAGCTATGAGATTAATAGGAGCTTCATCTGTAGTTCAACATTTATTTTCCACTGAGTTTAATATGGACCAGCTCTCTTACTCCTTCCATCTCTTCAAGTTCTCTAAAGTTTGGGGGGAAAATGAAGACCTCTCTTTACTATCAGATTTGAAAGATTCAAAGTTAAAAAATAATTGCCCAGGAACTACCAGGTTTTTGAAACTTAAAACTTAAGATGTTTTTGAGGGGAGAAAAAAGAGAGAAATGGATCAGTACAAGGGAGGGAGGAAGGCTATCAGGGAAAGAGTGGGGAGGAAGACTTGGGTTTCCAAATGTCTGATTCTGTTGTCCACTGTGGCAACTTCAAAGAGATAAACATAAAAAGAGATAAACTTCAAAAGAGATAAACTTTGCTAGAAATGCAGTCTCTGGAGGAGCAGACCCACATATTTCATAATGAGCAGGAATAACTCATTTCGTTATAACACAGGGTTCACAAAACTTAAACCTGGTGTTTTCCTAAAGAAGCCTGATCTTCCTGGATTGCAACTCCCAAGGTCATGAGGCTTTAACTATGGAGAGACCTTTGGGAGTCATGTAGTTTCTGTTATCTTTGTCCACAATAAAGATGGGACACAAAGAGAAAATAAATGTTTAACCCTAAAGAAATGTAAAACTGTCCTGTAGTAGGGACAGCATCTGACTTAAATTTCCTTGCATATTTTGCCTAAGCACAGGGGCCCCACCCCCTCACCTTTTCTTCTGCAAACAATGTAATGCTTTGGAAAACTAAGAGTCTTCTGTGTGCCACATTGAAACTGACAAAATCCATTTTGTCTAAATCCTTTGAAGTCAGACTATTGTCCCTTCTCTGTCTCAAGTCTCTTATTATAATGGCAATCTATAAAATACTTACTAAAAAAATCTGCCCTTCAAATGTTGCAAACTTCAAGTCTGGAAAAGCAGTAGGCTGCCTGGGCTGACAGAGCCAATACCACTGCTGGGTTTGTGAACAGGTCATTAGAGCCACTGCCAGTTTCTCAGCCAGATCTTCTCTGTCGTTCTTGGAAGAATATCCACCTACATGGAAAACACAAGCCCATGGAATATTTTTGTCAAAGGTGCAAAAAATTGCCAAACTCCACATCCCTTTTGCTTACTGAACACCAATAGATAGGTGATCACCTGAGTTTATATATAAAATATTTCCAATAATGGTAACTAATTATTGGTGAAGCTTGAAAGGGCCACCGAGTGGCCCATACCTGAAGTCAGCAGGTACTGTAGGTCCAGTACTCCAACAGTTTGAACAGAACACTCAAAAGCATAATCTACTCCCTTGTCATTATTAGTGTGATTAAATAAAACCTTTGGAAGGAATAGTTGTCTGACAAAAATCAAATATATTTCAGTATCTGTACCTCAGCATCTTCTAAGGGAAAAAGCATATAATGGGCAGATTCTTGGAGTCAAGTAGGCATACTGAACACTGGTGAACAGGCTGAGTGAATTATAATATATTTAAACAAAGGTTGCTCGTTTCTTATAAAGTAATTTTATTTTTAAATCCCACCCCACACAACTCTAATCTGCCTCCCTGATTCCCTACAGATACAAGGCAGATCCAGCCGTCCCCACCATGGTCCTACGATCAGTCCTACCAATACCTGGGGTCGATTGCCTCTCCTTCTGTACACCCAGCAACGCCTATATCACCTGGACGTGCCAGTGGCATGACAAGCCTCTCTGCAGAACTTTCCAGTCGACTCTCAAGTAAGTCTTCTGAAAATATTTACAGCACAGCTGCGGTGGAAGGTGTGGGAGGCTAGAGGAGGTGGCATAAAGGGGCTTGGCAGACCATTATTAATTGACTAAAACATGACATAATGACAGAGTTGCCTATCTCTGCTCTAAATCCCTTGCCTATGCACAGATTCTTTTTTTTTTTTTTTTTTTTTGTACAGGGATTGAACCACATCCTCAATTGATTGATTGAGACAAGGTTCTCACTAAGTTATGTTGGAACTTGCTAAGTTGCTGAGGCTGGCTTTGAACTTGCCATCCTCTTGCCTCAGCCTCCGGAGCTGCTAGGATTACAGATGGGTGCCACCATACCTGACAAGCATGCAGTGATTTTTCTTGACACTGAAAGGCAGAGACTATGAATATGGAGACAGAAGTGGCTTGGAGAATTTGATTCCTTGGGCACTGGGGGTTGCTCATGTTTGTCGGGAAAGAATGGTAGCTAAAGGGTTCACCTGAAAAGCTAAAGTGGCCATTTTTCAGAACTCATTATTCCAATTGGATTGCGGGCTGATGGAATTGGTCTATCTGGTGTTGGTGAGTTTTCATAGGTCCCACGAATGACACAATGGGGCACATGCAGGATAGGAAGCAAATGTACCCCAAATGAGGTATTCTCGAGTAAGAGCTGATCAGACCATGGTTAGAGGGGCACAGTGAAAAGCTCAGGTGTCATGGTTAGCATAATTGTTGTTAATATGAGCTCATTAAATATTACTCATTTAACCTACAAGCCCTTTGGGCTTGGCACTCACCTTTGCTTGTGGGCAGGGAAATCAGAGTTACAGAGAAAAATTCCTTTGTTGAAAGCAAAAGAAGAAACTTACTATTTGGGGCTTTGAAATTGGAGCTGGACCAAACTGTGGAAATATTTCAGAGAACTTAAGCATTATGAGGCCTGCAAACACACTTGCATGTGTGTTGGAACCAGGGGAGGGTGATGGGTTTTGCTGTTTAGCTCTTGGGATCAGATTATAGCAGATTACATGGTCAGACAAAGGAGTCACGTCTGCCATTTTGAATGTTGTGAACTTCTGTTTTCCAAACAAGTGTGATTACTTGAGATCTCACCAGATGCCTTAACTGCTTCTTAGTGCTTCATATAAATATCTCCTCAGAGCTACTCAAAAACAGCACTATTGACATTTGGGTCAAATAATTCTTTGTTGGGGCAGGGGAGGGGTGCTGGGTACTATGTGCTGTAGAATATTTAGCAGCACCCTTGGATTCTAGGTGCCAGTGGCACCTAGAATGAAATGTTAGGGAACCTCCCCTAAGCGTGACACTCAAAAATGTCTCCAAACATTGCCAAATGTCCACAGGGCAGCAAAACTGCCCCCATCTGAGAACCACTGCCTTCAGATGTTCCTTGATGCTACAGTAAAGCAGGAAAGCCAACCTAGGTATTGTTTTCACATTCTTTTGGGCCATTAAGGCCAATATTTTCACTGCTGGTCTAAGGAGTTGAGTATCACAGGAATTATGTCATCTGTTCAGCTTTTTTCTAAAAACCCATCTCTTGGGAACAGAACTTGATTCCAAAGGCCCCTGTCAGCTTTTACTGGTTCTTCTCAGCAGAACTGCTGTGCCCACTGATGATAGTCTACATCTGAAACAATCACTGCTTCCCTTAGAAATATCCTTGCTGCTGGTCTGTCCCTTAGAATTTATTGTATGAATCTTTTGACTTGGTTACCACCCAAGATCTGTACCTATAGTCCAAGAATCCTCGAGGTCAGCTCCTCCAGCTGCCCAGTGTTCAGAAGTAAGGGTGGCTTTTTAAAAAAGAATATATACTATGTGTATTCCCAAATCTATAATCATACCTATGCTTCTAAATAACATGGATTCCATTACCCGAGGAATAAGGACAGATGCTTTGTGGCATGGGAGTAAGACATGGATAAAAACCACATCCCATTCCAGCATTCCGGAATGATGCTCTGCTGTCCTGGAGGGAGGACTGGAGAATTCCAGGCAAGCTTTCACCAGTGGCAGAGAACAGCATGGGAGACACTCTTCAGCTTGGCAGAACTCCCTCTGAGAAATCAAGCCTGGAGCACAGAACTAAAAAGTGTTGTCATAAACCTGGGGGCAGGAGGGGGTGGGGCACATAAAAGAAAGTGGCTGCCCAGACGGACAGCTTTTGAGAACTTGACACTGCTCTGTGGCTGCTTTACCTTTTAATCTCACCTGACAGCTTTGTGTGTTGCCCCTCTCCCAGCCCCCAGCCCCACCTGGGCTTCCTTCTGCACTGGGGACATGGACATTGTCTGTCTCTCTCCCTGTCCTTTGCAGACAGACTCCACACCTTGTCTGAAAAGAGTTGTCATCTGGAGGTTTACTTTTCTTTTCTTCTTTTTTTTAAAAAAAATTAATGTTTAGCTGCCAACCTGGGCGACAGACAGCATGCATTAATCTGAGTCATGCAAAAGATCCTTTTAAGGCAGCCATTATCTGCTCAGGTTGTTTAATCCTTTGGGGGCAGTGGGAGGGGCCCTGGAGTGGGGCTGCTTTCATCCGTGTCAAGCTGCAGAGTAGAGACTTGATCTGTCATGGCAAATATTTAGCCCGATGGATGGGGAAACATTTCCAACTAAAATACCTGAACCTCCTAATTCCAGATTTCCTCTTCTTGAAAAGCTCCCTATGACTATCAGGGGTCCCCATCTCTGCCCATAATGTTACTGAATAAGGGGGCACCAGGCCTGCCAAAAGGACAGATAAGGTATGACCCAGTAGGTGACTTGTTCATGACTGATGGGTCGTAATAAGGGCTGTTAGAACAGACACAAAAATGAAAACAAGCATTTGAACAGAACACTTGAACTTGAGCATATCTAGAGGACTTAAGTTGTTTTATTATCAAAATGTGTGTAAAAAAGATAATTTGACCAAATGGATGGTCTTTTGGGGAATGACATTGCTACTGTATAGATAGAAGAATCATCGCAGGCAGTGTTTCAGGATCTTTCAGATATTCTGCCCACAGTGAAAGAATTATTTTTCCCCAACAGCTGAGACTGTAACATCATTCCAGTACTTACAGCCATGACAAATCAGGGACTCACTCAGGATTCCAGTAACTTGGTACCATCACCACATTACCATGTAGTAGTTGGAACAGACTGGCAGAGCATATCCAGACACTGCTATGAAACAGGGTGACCTTTCATTCATTTTTCCAGTAGATTCACCTTTTTGTCTCAGGGCAGATGAAGCAAGAGGAATAATGGGCAGAGTCATTTATTTGTGTCCAGAGCATTGCATCAGATGACAACAAATTGATTGTATTTGCCTAATGCTTTTCCTCCTACCTTGGCTTCTCCCTAGACTATATAAATCTAACTGGAAAAATGGAGTCAAGCTTCCTGTTAACTCTCAAATGTGTCACAGCTCTCTGTATAAGCAAAAACAAGTGACACAGGGCTTGCTCACAGATGGCCCCAGCAAGCAGGCAGGGATGAACCCTGTGGAATGAGGTGTGGCCTGGCTTGAGAATGAGCTAGAGAGTGGCCAAGGAAGGGCAGCCCCAGAACTACTGTCAGTTTACAACGTTTTCCCTGCCCACATGTCTGACTCGCTTTGAAAAGATTAACAGGAGTGTTTGTTTGAAAGTCAGACTCCTGGTTTCCTCATTAGTGGAGGGATTTGCTGTAGACTTTGGCTGTTTCTATAAACTCTAATTACCTCTCTGATGAGGAGTAGATCCCCTCATCACATTCACCCTAAATGTACACAGGAGTTCATTTTTTAAAAATGTGTTAGTGCAATAAAAGATTATTGGGGGGTGGGTGGGTCAGAATGGGAGGAGAGAGAAAGGGAGAGAGAGAACACTAGCTCTCCCTGCTGGAATAATAGACTTGAAATATGAGGAAGTTGATCAACAGCCTATGCCTTCCAAAAACAGATTAATCCGCTCCGGTAGCTTTCCTTTCAGAGCAAGCTTTTGGCTCCATCAAGGATCTCTATCAGCCTGAACTCAAAAGGACACAGGCTGCATGCCATCTGAGCTTAGAGTTATTTTATATGTTGATTTGATAACTTAAAATTATGAACATTTAATTCTTGCTTCTGCTCTTTACTCAAAAGGACACAGGCTGCATGCCATCTGAGCTTAGAGTTATTTTATATGTTGATTTGATAACTTAAAATTATGAACATTTAATTCTTGCTTCTGCTCTTTTCTTGCTGTCTTTGGATTTGCTGATGTAATGACTATAGTCCTGGTCTGCTCATTTAATGAATAATTCTGAGGAACAAAAACTACCCCAGGGTGCCATCCTGTATGTGCAGAGGTTCTCAGACAGGGTTGCCTGGGACTCTTACCCCAGCTCTCAGATAACTTTTGCAATGGGTTGTCAAATTGGAGAGAGGGGGCACTCCTGGCATCTAGCAGGAAAAGGCCACAGATGCTGCCAAACATCCTATAATGCACAAGACACTCCCCAACCACCCCTACAAATAATCTAACTGAAAAAGTTAATAGTGCTACTTCTGATAAACTCTGATCTGCAGAACATAGGAAACTCTTCCTAGTACTCATAACCTCTTGAAATTCCCAATGGCAACCTATGGGTTAGAAAAATGCAGAGGGATACAGTGAACAACCACAGCCAAAGAATTTGTGAGACAGAAAATTCACAATCTATGAAATGAATTTTATAAACAAAGATTTGCCATTCCTCGTAAAATTTCAAGATGTGCAAAAATAGAATAGATAAATCAAGGTTCTACATTCAGTGATTTGGTTCAACAAGCTACTGGAGCACATATTAGAGAATATCAAGTGAAATCAAGGCTGTATTGTTTCTACAAATGTGGAACCAGTCTGAAGACAAACATTGGGAGAGAGAAGTGCTAATGATATTTACCAACATTCACTTTAGTCATCACTATGACATACATTATGTTGGATAATGAGAAATTTTAGCAATTTCAGAACAGGCTTTCAAAAATGGCAGAGTTTTCTATGATTCAACCTAAATATTATGTATAATGTAGCAGTATATATCAATACTGTTATATTCAATTACTAGTAATATATCAAGTGTATCTGTTACATTATATATAGTGTTATGTCATTGTACATTGTTATATCAATGTTGACACATTAACATTCATATTATCAATATATTAATTGGTATTAATATCGATTAACATATAGAGAGAGTAGATTTTTTTTTTAGTAAAGAACCAGAAAATAAATATTTAAGGATTTATGGGGCCTACAGTTGCTGTCACAATCACTCAACTTTGCTCAAAAGTGGTAGCTCAAAAGCAGCCATAGGCAATATATATGAGAGAGTGAGGCTATGTTCTACTTTATGAGTAGACAATGGATTTTTAATTCCTTATAATTTTCACATCAGAAAATACTATTCTTCTTTGGACTTTTTATTCCCCACCATTAAAAAAGAAAAAGAAGAAGAAGAATTCATAACTCCCAGAATGTTTAAAAAAAAAAAAATCTTAAGCTTTGGCCCCTTCACATTTGGCTGACAGGCTGCAGTTTGCCCACTTAGGATCAAATCACTCTTTTATCTGTATGGTACACGTTACACTGTAGCACATCTATGTAATACAAATATTTGTTTTACAATATCATTCATATAACATAGGCCATATTACATAGAGGCCTATATTACTGTCTGTCTCACTATTAGTTTCCATACCCACCTCCCTGGGTGATTAGCCTTCGGACAAAACCGCACCTTTTTGGGCGGCAGCATTCTGGGCCGCCCCCTCACTTCCTGGGACAAGGCATTCTGGGTGGTCGCCCACTTCCTGGGACAAGGCATTCTGGGTGGTCGCCCACTTCCTGGGCAGGAGCGTTCTGGCGGAAGGGGCGTGGCCTCAACCCCACACTCACGACATTTTCTCCTCCGCCCCTGCAGCGGCGCCCGACTTGACGGCTTTCGGTGACCCACGCCAGTTCCCCGCGCTTCCCTCCATCTCAGACCCTCGCATGCACTACCCAGGCGCCTTCACCTACTCCCCGACGCCTGTCACGTCGGGCATCGGCATTGGCATGTCGGCCATGGGCTCGGCCACCCGCTACCACACGTACCTGCCGCCGCCCTACCCGGGCTCGTCGCAGGCGCAAGGCGGCCCGTTCCAGGCCAGCTCGCCGTCCTACCACCTGTACTACGGCACCTCGGCCGGCTCCTACCAGTTCTCCATGGTGGGCGGCGAGCGCTCGCCACCGCGCATCCTGCCGCCCTGCACCAACGCCTCCACGGGCTCCGCGCTGCTCAACCCCAGCCTCCCGAACCAGAGCGACGTGGTGGAGGCTGAGGGCAGCCACAGCAACTCGCCCACCAACATGGCCCCGGCCGCGCGCCTGGAGGAGGCAGTGTGGCGGCCCTACTGAGGGTGACGGGCCTGCGCAGCCTCCAAGCCACGCGTCTGCTCGCTGCCACGTGGGCACGTGGCGAGGCCAACAGGAAGTTCCCGGAGGGAAACTGTGAATGCTTCTGATTTAGCAATGCTGTGAATAAAAGAAAGATTTTATACCCTTGACTTAACTTTTTAACCAAGTTGTTTATTCCAAAGAGTGTGGAATTTTGGTTCCTGGGGGGCAGGGAGGACGCAATTCACCCTGTTTGGCCTCTCAATTCTTATTTCTAATTTTTCTTTTCCGCACCTTATAAATTGCAAAATGCAAATTTGCATTTGGGTGGTTTTTATTTTTTACAAACATTTATATATAAATTTGAGCTTGCTTCTTTCTTGCTTTGACAATGGAAAGAAATATGATTCCCATTTCTGTTAAGTTTTATTTAACTTTTCTTTTGGACTTTTGGGTAGATTTTTTTTTTTGTTTTGTTTTGAGAGACAGCTACAGCTTTGGGTCATTTTTTAACTACTGTATTCCCAAAAGGAATCCCTAGATATTTATGTATCTTGATGTTCAGACATTGACTTATGTGTTGATACTTTTTTAAAAACTATTTAAGTGTACTTATATTAAAAAGAAAGATATCAAGTACTACGTTTTTTTTATAGTAGCCAAAGTTAAATGTATTACATTGAAGAAGGCTGGAAAAAAAGGATGGGTAATGTGATTGCTTGGTTATTTAGAAATATTGTTTACATTAAACTCCCTTTCATGTTAATCAAACAAGTTGGTAGCTAATGCAGCAATGTTTCAAATAGGATTTTAGACACTGAGGGTCACTCCAAAGATCAGAAGTATGGGATTTTTCTTCTAGGCTCAATACAGGGTCTCATATCTGGCCTCTTCAAACAGGTTAAATCTGGCCCCATAGGTGCTAATGATTCCACCTATGAAGAGGATTTTTTTTTTTCTGCCTAGGGGTATACTCACTCCATGGCCTTCTGAGAATTTCAGTCATGTTTTGTAACAACACATCCAAACTAAGCTGTGTGAAGGAGCAGTATTTACTTGGGAAACACATAAATGATTGAATTTATCATTTCTTTAACTGCTCAATTCTGGGATAGCAAGAAAATATTTCTCTTTGATATAGCACCCATTCATTGAAGCAGAATAGGACTGTGGCTATCCCCCAAAGATGGGAGCAGAAGAGAGAGGACTGGGTTCTATTAGGACCACAGGTCTCCAGCTAAATTTTCAGAGGGTGGGCCCAAAACCAGGCCTGAAGAAGTCAATTTCCCTCTGCCTGCCTCAGTGGAATCATGTGGGAGAGCCTTATACCACCTGTGCAGGACCCCCATCTCTGGTTGCTCACTCACCAAGTTTTGTGCTGCTTCCACCAGGCTGAGACCCTGCCCTATGGGGTGTGTGCACTTCTATCTGTGCACCAGCATGACATGAAAGTTCATGTCACTGCTGCCCATGGCTACAATTCAAATGTATGCAATGTCACTGTAAATTTTATAGCACTATTTTTATTGGAGGACTTGGTCAGAATGCAGTTGTTGTACAACTCATAAATACGAACTGCTGTTTTGACATGTGTGCTCAAAATGATCTGGTTGTTATTTAATGTACCTCTTAATTAGTTGAGAAACAATTTCAGGTCAACTCTGAAGAGTGTTTGAAAGCAGGACTTCAGAACAGTGTTTGATTTTTATTTTATAAATTTAAGCATTCAAATTAGATCTTTGGCTGCAGGCAGCAAAACAGCTGGACTTATTTAAAACAACTTGTTGAGTTATATATATATATATATTGATTATTTGTTTTACACAGATGCAGTAGCACTTTGGTAAGAGTTAAAGAGTAAAGCAGCTTGTGATGTCAGGTTGTTCTTATCTAGAAGAGCTATAGCAGGTCTTGGAGAAACTCAGAAATATTCATTTTCATTTTAGATAATACTCCCGCCACAATTAAGTTCCAGTAAATTATTCCATATCACACTTTTTTGCAGCTTAATTATCACCAATGTTAGAAAAATTGAAAATTAATTTCTGAAAAGGACCATTAGCCTATTTCCCCCAAGTAGAACTTAAATGTTCTTTTTAGCCCATGTTTCCATACATGACCTAAGAAAATGTTGGGGAAAGATGAAGGAAAAAAATTATATTTTTCACTTTAATTCTGGTACCTGAAGATATTCCAACTCAAAACCAGCCTATTACCCTAAGAGGGGAATCAGATAATCTCTCATGGAACCTTTACTCTCAAAGCCATGTATGGAGAGGGTTTATCACTTTGTTGTAGACTCATTTATTTGGCCATTCAGAGCTTCACAGACCCTTACCAGCATATATAGTATTTAATCATTTCAGGAAAAAAAACACATTAGTTCTTTTGGAGATAGGTCTCATCCAAACAAATTTTTGCCCCTGAGGAATTGTATTCATTACCTTCAGGTAAATTAAGATATTAGCAAGACCCTTAAGCCAACCATGTAATTACTGTAAGTATTTGGGAACATTGGTCCAGGAGAAGAAAGACTGAACACACTGTTTCTACTGCTTATTCATGTCCTTACATATGATTCCTATATGGACACATACTTCCGTTCTTTCTGCTTTTCTTACTATCTGACAATGTATTTCTTTTCCTCTGCCCCTCAATGTGTCCCTTTTCCTCTCCCCTCCAAGCCCCACCTTCTCCCTCCTTCATCCTCCCATTCTCTGGGGAAATAGCCCACACCCACCCCATACCAAATGTCCAGAACACAGGAGGTCCAGTTCTTCTCCCTTTGCATAAAGAACAGGGTGAGTCAGCCTTTCTCCTGCTCATGGGTTTCTTCCAACAGAACAGAGACATTGCCAACCATTTTGGATCTGCTTGCTGTCCAAATGCAGCAAGAGAAACCTTCCTCGGCAAATTACAATCAGGGAGTACAGAGCCTTTCTGCTGCCTAAGGTTTCTGGGCAGATAAACAGAAATTCTCTGATTAGAAAGGAAATGAATGGTTTCACTCAAATGTCCTGCAATTTAGGATTGCAGATTCCTGTTTCCTTGGGACATTCCGTCCTGGTTTTGACGGTTTTTTGTTTTCTTTTTGTTTGTTTTTTCTTCTTCTTCTTTTTTTTTTTTTTAGGGGAATGACATGTTTGGGGTCTTTTATACATGAAAAAAGATTGGTTTGACAATAATCTCAGACAGAAACTTTTTTTTAAACATCTGAACAAAATACCTTTTGGTTTACCCTAGAGTATACATTTATTTGAGGTTTTTTGTTTGTTGGTTGGTTGGTTGGTTTGTTGGGAAATTCTTCCCTCCCTTAAGCCAGGTCAGTATTGATGATGCTGATCATTTGGCTTGTTTTTTCTTTCCCCCTTCCAGAAGGGTTCAACAAGTTAATTGTATTTATGTATGTAAATAGATTTTAAGCTTCTTTATAAAATATTGTTAATGCCTGTAATAACTTTTTTCAATTTTTTTTGTGTGTTTCTAAGGACTTTTTCTTATGTTTGCTAAATACTAGGAAAAATGCTTCTTTCTATTTTGTTTATTTTAGACTTAAAAACAAGCGACTTCTTATTCACTTTTGTAAACCGCTAATAGCATGGTTCTGATTTTTTTTTTTAAGTTCACTTTTTGTTCTAGGGGAAATGAATGTGCAAAAACAAAAAGAACTGTTGGTTATTTGTGTTATTCTGGATGTATAAAAATTAATGGAAAAATAAACTTCCAAATTGAAATGACAGTATAATACATCTATTGGAAAAACAATGGAGAATGTAGTTCTACTTCAGCCCCTACCTAGTGTCTGTGCAGCAATTATTAGATCTGGTCACAAGCACCCTGAAAACTGGTGCATGGGCTTCATTCTCCCTGGTACTGACATTCTGAACACTTCCTGAAGGGGAACTGTCAAGCTCAGGTTTTCAACCAGATAAGATACAAGAGAATACCCCAGAAGCCCCTCTGCAAGCTGTTTCTAAGTAGCACAGGAGAGCAGGTACTCCATGTGCGCAGTCCACTGTACAGTCAGGGTGGGCAGCTGGCCCTCTTCTGGGAGGGCCTGTCATGCCTAGCCTGTGCAGGGCAGCTGGACTGCTGCTGCCCAGGAGCCATTGGAGCCTTACTTTCTTTGTACCACCGTTTCCTCTGTAAATCCAATATTATAACTAGTGTGAATGGCAAATAAACAATTTGACAAGTACGCACACCTTATTAAATTGGTTTTGTCTTTCTCTGAGATGGATGCCTAGAATGTCAAGTGAGGCCCATTACAACTCTCTATGAAAATATTTTCCACAAATGACCCCAAGCCCAAGTCTGAGCCCTCACCCTTCAGTCCTTCCAGCATGCCCTGGCTTCTGAGGCATGATGTCCCAGAGAAGGCCTAGACACCTGGGCTTGATTCTTTGGGCATGAAGGAGCTCAAAAGTATGTTTTAATGCATTTTTAAAATAAAAGTAAAGAAAAGAAAGAAAAGTAATTATAAGAGATTTCAAACACGAGGTAGAAAGGGTGTGTGTCCAACCTGAGACCAGTCACACACATCTGCCTTCATTTCTATAAATACACAAGTCAGGTCCGGGTAGTAGTTGGGATTTCTTTTTTTTTTTTTTTTTTTAAGAAATTCTTCCCTCACCACCACCCCTACACAAAGTGTTGCAGTCTCAAGACTTGGTGTGATGCAAGTCACCTTCCTCCCAAGAACTTCTGCCTAGAGCTTCTTCCGCTCTGTCACTACCCTCTCATGGACTTGCATGTGGTCTTAAATGGTCCACAAGGTGACCCTCAAAATTATCAGGAACCAAAGCAAGTGACCTAGGACCCCACGGCCAAGGAGCAGAGGTAGGAAATGGGTGGGAGGATCAGATTCTGAAAAATGTAGCCCTGCACTGGGAGAAGAAAACAGAAACTAGTCAGGGAATGTTGGTTTCCACTGTCAGTAGCAGTTTTTTAAACTGAACTTTAAGGTCAGAGAAATTTTGTACCTTTTGAAGACTCAAAGTACTCCAGAGGAGAAATCTATGCCTGAAGAAGAAAATAACAACATTTGCACGTTGATGTTGACCTTGACCACCTGCCTGAAGTAGTGTCTGTCAGTCTTCTCCTCTGCAAAGTTATGCTTAACACCCTCCTTCATTCTGTTCTTTCTGAAAGTCACTGTGCATATGGTCCACTCTTAAGAAATGGGAAGCTAAGCTCATCTCCCTTCAGGAGGTAGGAGAACAATAATACAGACCCTAGATGGGACAGGCTTCTCCCTCTATTGAGAGCACAAGCCCTAGTCCCATCCCTCCAGCCTACAGAGTCCAAAAGTTCAAAATGCTTGTGGTTCTAGAAGTTCCATATTGCCTTCATTGTGGGCCCACTAGGCTGGCTGTCTTTGTACAAAGCCAAGCTTTTCTTCACTTTACTTTATATATATATATATATATATATATATATGAAGTATATATCACATATTTATTTTTTCTTTCTGTTTAGGATAACTGGCTAAGCCTTGTCTTACGACTTCATAGAAGTCTCCACATCTTTGTTCAAAATGAGCCCACCCTGTGTCTGTGACTACAGATCCCAGATTCTTAAGGGAACTCAGAAGCCAATAAAGGCAACTCTGTCTCAGGTGCATAATTCCCTCTCCCCAGCCCTTGGGGTTTCTCATGGTAGCTTTGACGCCTTCCTGACTGGTAGCATAGAGTTCAGCTCTTCAGCAGGAGGGGAGATGGTATGGAATGTGTTGACTGTCCCAGTGGAAGGAGTGTTAGTTGTGTGCCAAATTTTAATATTGGTAATTAAACTTTGGATGCCTCAAATTCTCCTTCTAGTTTCAATTTCACTGATGCTGTTGTAAGGATTAAATAATGTTTTGCAAGTGTTTTGAAGATGAGAAGACTTACACGAATACAAAGTAAAATTATCTGTTCTTAAAAATAACTGCACACAGCCGTTTTTTTTCTCTCACCTCAGTGATTGTGAGGGGTTCTGCAGGCGTTAAAGTTGCAGGCATAAAGAGGACTGCCTTTCATATTTTTTAAGTTTACCCTTATATTCGTTCATGGATTGATTCATTTATTTTTTGATTTTAAAAATATTTTTATTAGTTATTAATGGATCTTTATTTATTTATTTGTTTATATGTGATGCTGAGAATCGAACCCAGTGCCTCACACAAGCTAGGCAAGCACTCTACCACTGAGCCACAATCCCATCCCTGATTCATTTATTTATCCAACATTGCTGAGTTACTGGTACTAAGGATGCTCATAATCCATGAGCCAGGTGGGCAGAGAGGCCAAGTTCACAGCCAGTGCTTTTAGGAGAGCCCCACTTGGTTTATTGTTATTCTGCAGCATAACAAAAATGTTTGAAGTAAGGAGTTCTGCATGCCCATTCTGCACAATTAGACCTCAGACAAACACCCCATTAAAGCATGGAGAGTCGTAGCATCACATGAAAAAATCCAAAAAGGTACTAATGAAACAGCCTGGAAACCTCAAGGAAGACTTCGATGAATAATTGCCATTTATTTTCAAAAGACAGGAACGGTCATGGCAAGAGGAAGAAATGCAGGCCGGATGTTGTGGCGCACATCTGTAATCCCAGTGGCTCTCAGGAGGCTAAGGCAGGAAGATCGCAAGTTCAAAGCCAGCCTCAACAATTTAGCACAGCCCTCAGCAACTTAGTGGGACCTTGTCTTAAAATAAAAAAACAGGGCTGGGGATGTGGCTTAGTGGTAAAGTACCCCTGGGGTCAATCCCCAGTACCCTCACCAAACAAAAAAGTGAAAAGATGCAAATTAAGAAACACCAGATCCAAAAAGGGAAGAATAATTGTATCAGGAGGGTAATAAAGGGACCATTCTCAGAGCTATTGCTGTCTCCAACACTATGTGCACACACACACATGCACCCAATGTACACATGTGAGCACATACCCACACACAGCAGGAGGTCAGCTGCTTGGAGCACAAGGCTGGGAAGGCCAAGGTCACATGAGTCATTGAATGCATTGGATTAAAATGGCATTGAATAAAATTCTGGGTTCAGATCCCTGTGAAAGCCCACAGAGTTTGCTCTAAGCCATGGCCCATCCTTGTCTCCCATCTACAGGCTACTATCTCATAACCACAACCCAAGACAGCACTGTGCCCTCAACAGTAGACACTCGGAAGTGTTCCCACATAAGGTCATCATGGGCCAAAAAGGAGAAAGTGGCAAAGTTACTGTAGTGGGTTTTGTCGTGTGCCCACAAAAGTCATAATTTTGAATTTCTAACACCTAGTACCTCAGAATGTGCTAAAATGGGAATAAGGTTGTCACAGATAAAATTAGTTGCGATCATAATGGATTAGGGTAGATCCCTAATCCAATATGACTGATATTCTTATAAAAAAAAAAAAAGAGGAATTTTTACTCAAAATCATGCACCCAGGGAGAATACCATGTGCAGATGAAGGCAGAGGTTTGGGTGAGGCTTCTATAAGCCAAAAACCCCAAAGATAGCAGCAACTGCCGGAAGCTCAGGTTTGC